CACACACACACACACACACACACACACACACACACACACACACATACACATACACATACACCTTCCAAAAGGAAATGATCAGATAGGAGCTCTGATGAAGAGGCCTCCCAGGAAGAGAACTCGTGGTCGGGCGGGGACCCTCTCGCTGACTCACACACATGCACACACACACACACACACTTACACACACACCCTCTCTTACGTCCTGCTCTTCGTCTTTTTCCAACCTCTTGCTCATGTTTTCCTCCTCGGCTACCACTAGCACACCCCCCACCCCTCACCCACACTTATTTTTCCCACATCGCCCCTCCTCGTCCTCACTCCCCCCCCCTTTCTCCTGTCCTCATACTCCCTTTTCCCCTCCCTATAAAGCTCTTACACCTCTCTCTCTCTCTCTCTCTCTCTCTCTCTCTCTCTCTCGTGCATATCAGGGTCAGGAATAACTCTGTTGTCTTTCCGAGGCTGTATTTTTTCTTTTTTAAGATGAAATGACTCCTAACCTCGTGCCATGAATGCAGTAAAAATTGCCCGACCTTTGTGTCGCGTCAAACTCTCTCTTTGTAAAGAGCTTGTATTTAAAAAATAAAAGCCTGTTTATGCAGGTTTGCTTGTTAGCATGCTGCTGATTAGAAGTGTTGCTTTCACTGCAATCAGTTGCATGTACAGCAGCAACAATTTGAGCATTAATCAATCAGAGGAAAATCAAACTACTCATTTTTTTCACTTTTCAAGCTAAAATACCAAACTAATGCTCAAAGCCATGTCTCAAATGTAAAGATTAGATCTTTAGCTTTTTCAAAAACGTAAACTGAATCTACATCTAAATGTTTGACTATTTTCTGATGCAATTTTATAAACACTGGATTAATTGAGTCAACAGATAATCTCAATTAAATTTGTATTGTATATTCGAATATCACAATTTGCCTCAAAGGGCTTAGCTACAAAAAAAAAAGGAAGAACCTTCAGGGAGAGTCACATCTGAGGGATCCCTCTCCCAGGGCCAACAGAAATAAAATAGATGTCAGTGAATTAATGCATTTATGCAAAAAATAAAATGTCTGGCAGAGATGATGTGGGGGGGGGGGATATCTGATCTGATTTATCGATACAGGACAAAAGAAATGAGCTTCAGTTGCAGCCACACTCGGATCCTGACAGAAACATTTTAACATTCACACTTAGATCCTGAAGTCGACATGCACAAATGTAAACAACCGGAAATATCATCAATGTGTCTAAATGAGTCCAGACTGCCAGCAGACACAGAGGAGGAGGAGGAGTCACACAAAATGACTGACAGAGTTAATGAGAGTCTCAAGATGAATGCATATCGTCTGTTTATAGAATGACACTCACATTACTGTTAACACAAACAGGAACACTGGGCTATACAAACATTGTTTTCGTTATATTCCAGTCAATTTATCTGTGGTCTATTTGGAATGATTCACATTCTAAAAATGTACCTATACACAGGATTTAAGAAATTCATTATCCAGAGCAGAGTCTTCATCTCTACACCTTTAAAAACACCTGGACCGAGCCTGTTGAACCACGTCATTCTTCAGAAAAAACAGAGAACCTACATGGCCCCGGCCACGTCCTACAAGATTCTGACACACACAAGTGTTTATTTGACTTCTGCTGCAGCTCTTCAGGCTGTTTCCCAGACTAGAGACCACCACTCCCACTTCTTCCCAGACTGATTCACTACTAAAACATCTCTGACCAGGAGCAGAGAAATGTGTGTGTATAGGTAGACGCGGTTCATTCAGTCGACAGAGCTGCGACAGTATCGATCCAAAACTGATCATCACATGGTTTGCGGGGATTTGCACTGACCTCAGCCTCTGCTCATTTCCACAGCAGTGCTCACAAATGCATGATAATTAAATACACTATGTTTGATGTGGACCACATCATGTACATTCATGCCAACACCAGAAAAGGGTTAACATGTCGTTTGAACAAAATGTGAATCCTGAAATCTATATCTGACAGCTGAACATCAGTTTGTTTTTTAAATCGTCTAAATTATTAGATAATACTTAACTACAATCGCACAAACATTTACTAAGGCCCAACAATACACTTAAAAAGACTCATTGAAATTCACTAGATCCAAATCTTTATTTTCATCCGCACCAACACACACATATATATATATATGCCTGGTGTTTTTCTATCACGATCCCAGAATTATTCTGTCTTGCAAACTGAAAAAAACCCTGATCCACACCTTAATTCACTGAGTTCTTCCCTGAATCATTCAGCGTCCTTATACCAAGTTTTATAATCCATCCTTAATCCTGCCAACTATCAAACAAACAAATCCAAACACAACTTCCTGAGTGGAAGGAATTAAAAATAAAATCATAGCAGGTTAATTCAAACTGTATATATATAAAAATATGATCAAAACAGGGGAGTGAACGTGATTAAACGTTTCACAGACAAATATTAAACGCAGCAGAGTCACAGAACCAATTTCATCACAGCAAACCAGCACGAAAATAGACTGAAAAACATCATAACTCCAGAAAAACAAACTAACCTCAATCGTCAATTTTCTAATTTTGGGTTGTCCGGCAACTTCAAACAATACAATCATACCTAAGATATTGAAGTTCCATCTCAGAGAAAGGGGCTGATAAGGAAATTGATTAATGCAAGAATCCATTTTTTTTAATCTGACATTTGTCATGCTCCCTCCTTCTCACAGGTCCCAACTGCTCAGCACAACATCCAGTGAGACCACAGCAGAGACACCTCCAGGAGAGGGTGTCAACACAGAAATGGTGGACATGTCCTCTCCTCCTCATCATCCTCACTCATACCTTCCTCCTCCTCCTCCTCCAGTATTGTAAAGCCACTTTATGGGACCGTAAAAAGGGGGCGATTTAACTGGGGGGGGAGAGGAGCTGAAAGAAGGGAGGGAAGAATATGTCGAAAACAAGGCCTCTGAAATGAACTCCATGCACAATAAATCAACAGTGGAAAACAGTCACACGAGTGGGGAAAGGATGTAGCTGCAGCTTCCAAGATCACAACCTAATCTGAGGGTGGCACGTTTCGACTTTTACGCTCTGGGACGTGGACATGAAGGGGAGCTCTGCTGTGTAGTTTGGGGCCAAAAGTGTGAAACTAACCGTGTCACAGCCACATGACATGTCTTGCCTTCACAAAGCGGAGGGGAGCGGAGCTGTGCAGGAGGAGGGAGAGAGCTGGACGCATGTGGCTCAAAGAGGAAACCCAACGTGTTATTTCTCTTTCTTTCTTCAAGCCCGTGAACGACATGTGATTACACAGTAACGTGTTGAACAATGCAAAACATCCGGATGTTGCCTGACATGCAACATAAAGACCAAGGAGAATGAGGGGCCTTGGAGAAGTGACAGGGAAAGTGCTCATAAAACTGTGCGCAATTTGCTGCTTTTGTGCGTATCCACAAACCAAACAGATCCTGGATGAGGCCAGTGCGCAGAGCAGATTGTGCAGCTTTGATATTCCCCCGTGCTTAATGTGTGTTAGCCCCTTTTTCAGTGCATCAACTTACTTGATGGACGAAAACATCCAGAGGCGGCTCGACGAGGCTCCCATCGCTGCTCGTCATTGAGATAAATCCAAAGCCCATCCGGACGTTGAACCATTTGCAGAAGCCCGTTCCCGACAGGACCTGAAGCCGAGGCCGGTCCTCCTGCTCGGCGGCGGACTTGGCGGGGTCTTCTCCGCCACCTTTACCCGGCCCTCCTGGAAACAAGAGGACGGAGGAAAAGAGGAAGCGAGTTAAGATCTTTTTAACGCGTCACACACACACACAGCCTTTGTATCGCAGGGTGGCCACCTCCATGCATGCGGGCGCCCACCGTTTTATATAAGTTTAGCAGTGTTAAAACTTCGAGAGGCGCGTGCGTGTGTGCAGGGGGG